GTGTAGGCCTTAGGAGGTAGAGTTCTGTATCTTTAATGGAAGTGATCACTCACTGCAAGGCCCTCCAGGGTGGCTGGGAGGAACAAGTGGCCTAGAGCTCTCCTTCCTGCCTAGCATCTGGAAAGTATAGCTAGCCACTCTCAGCTCCATTTCAGACTAACCTTATCTCCCAGTGGGCCTCTAGAAATTACTGAAATAGACAATTACATGAATGTGTGATCTCATGATGCCAAAAGGAAGAAAACATCACTTTGGAAAGGAAATATGATGGTGGATGGCTCTGCAAAAAACTGAAAGAGACTATCTCCATGGCTTTGGAGGGTTTCAGAAAGCTCTCTGCATCTAAAAAAAAAATCTGATTTGTATTAATAATTAGCTTGACTGGCTCTTGTATTTAGGACAGTAGTAAAAAAAAGAAAGAAAATAAAAGCAAAAGCTATAATTTGTAATGAGTGACATGAGGGAGGTGAACTTAGGACAAACATTAGCAGCTATACAATATCACTTGAATGACTTTTTAAAAATTGGGGTGAAAAATATAACATTCAATTTGTCATCTTAACTCTTTTTCTCTGTAACTTGTTAATCTTGTAAAACTCAAACTAACTCCCATTAACACACTGACTGCCACACTAGAAAAAAAATCTTTTCCTTGGGGCCAAGGTGTTTTATTACAAAAATAGAACAAAAACTTTGAAAGCAAAAGGATCCTTTCTAACTTAATGAAAATTTGTTATTTTTATCGTTTTCTGTGTGTGAGTTATATGCAACTTGAAAAATAGTTCTTGTGGTTCCCAAGGGGAAGAGATGTGTGAGTTACGTATGCTTCATGAGGCACCAGGCTCAAAACTAGCATGAGTTAAATATAACTCACATGGCAGTTAATGGGTTAAACTCTAACTTTCCTTCTACACAGTCCTTGACAACCAACTTTCTACTTTCTGTTTCTCTGATTTTGACTTTAGATGCTTTATATGAGTGGAATCATACAGTACTTTTCCTTTTGTAACTGCTTGTTTTACTTAGCATAATGTCTTTGAGGTTCATCCATGTTGTAGCACGCAGCAGGATTTCCTTCTTTTATGGCTGCATAATATTCCATTATATGTATATACCACATTTTCTTTATCCATTCATCTGTCAGTAGACATTTGGGTTGCTTTCACCTCTTGGCTATTTTGAATGATGCTACAATAAACATGGGTGTTCAAATATCTTTTTGAGATCTTGCTTTCAATCCTTCTGCATATATCCAGAAGAGGGATTGCTGGATCACATGGTAATTCTATTTTTAGTTTTTTGAGAAGTCTCCATACTGTTTTCTATAATGGCTGTACCACTTTACATTCCCATGAACAATGCACAGGGTTCCACTTTCTCTGCATCCTGTCAACACTTATTTTCTGTTCCTCTGAGAGTGGCCATCCTGATGCAAGTGAGGTGTGATATTATGGCCTTGATTTGCATTTGTCTTATGAGTAATGATGCTGAGCATCTTTTCATATGCTTGTTGGCTATTTGTATATCTTTGGAGAACTGTCTACTCAAGTCCTTTGTCCATTTTTCAATTGGGTTACTTATTTTTTTGTTGTATAATTGTAGAAGTTTCTTATATATTCTGGATATTAACCCCTTATCAGACATATAATTTGCAAATATTTTCTCCCATTCCACATGTTGCATTTTCATTTTTTTGATTGTTTCTTTTGATGTGCAGAAGAGTTTACATTTGCTGCAGTCCCATTTTTCTTTTTTCGCTTTTGCTGCCTGTGCTTTTGTTGTTATATCCAAGAAATCAGTGCCAAATCCAATGTCCTGAAACTCTTCCCCTATGTTTTATTCTAGGACTTTTATAATTTGAGGTCTAATGTTTAGGTCTTTAATCCATTTTGAGTTAATTTTTGTATATAGTATAAGGTAAGGGTCCAACTTCATTCTTCTGCATATAGTCATGTACTTAGCAACTTATTAAATCTTATAATGAGTATTTTTTGAGATATGTATTTAATTATAGACAAGCCCTTTAAGCTAACTTGAAACAGCAGAATTCATAGTTTTTTTTCAAGTGAAAATGTCCTCAAACTCATCCTCTTTTGGCCTATGTTTCATCCATATGCTGCCACCATCTTCTATTGTGTATGGTTTTTTGTTTTGTTTTGTTTTCATAGAGACAGGGTCTTGCTATGTTGCCCAGGCCAGTCTCAAACTCCTGGGTTCAAGTGATCCTCCTGCCTTAGCCTTCCAAAATGACAGGATTACAGGCATAAGCCACTGTACTCAGCCCATCTTCTGTTGTTTTAAGTTCCTGGAATTTCATTTTGATCCAGACACTAATATTTGTTTTGATTGAGAACTCTGTCTTGCAACCATAATTTCAATTTACACATTAATTCATTTTATGTATCATGTAAATATGGTATGCTTTTATTTAGTAAAAAAGGAAAGAAAAAAGAAAGTTGAATGCTAACCATGTTCCAGGCACTGTGCTAGGTATTAGAGGTACAAAGGGGAAGATACTGTATTATTGTGTTGATTATTATACCTCCTTCCTCTGGCCCAAGAACTGAACCAAATACCTAGTTTAGTACATTTGAGATCTGAAAGCCAATGTTGAGAGAATTAATGAATGAGAGAAAGAATGACAGATAATAGAGAAGTAGGCAGGGGCCAGCTAATGATATAATTTTAGATTTTTATCTTAAATTCTATAGGAAAATACTGAAAGGGTTTAAGTGGGACACAGAAGGGATCCATACTGAATTTTTTTTTTTTTTTTTTGAGACAGAGTCTCGCTCTGTTGCCCCAGCTAGAGTGCAGTGGCGTCATCACAGCTCACTGCAGCCTCAAACTCATGGGCTCAAGCAATCTTCCTGGCTCAGCCACCCAAGTAGCTGGGACTACAGGAGCATGCCACCATGCCCAGCTAATTTTTCTATTTTTCTGTAGAGATGGCAACTCAATCTTCCTCAGGCTGGTCTTGAACTCCTGGCCTCAGCCTCCTACCTCAGCCTCCCAAAGTGCTAGGATTATAGGCATGAGCCACTGTGCCCAGCCTGAATTTTTTTAAAAATTTGATTCAATGTGGAGAATTGAGGTGGCGCCTTTAGGAGGTGATTGGATTGTGGGGGCTCTGCCCTCATGAATGGATAAATCCATTTATTGATTAATAGATTAATGGGTTATCATGGGAGAGGAACTGGTAGATTTATAAGAGGAAAAGAGACCTGAGTTGACACATTAGTCCCAAAACAATAAATGTTGGAGTAGGTGCGGAGAGCTAGGAACACTTATACACTATTGGTGGGACTGCAAACTAGTACAACCTCTGTGGAAAGTAGCATGGTGATACCTCAAAGAGCTAAAAGTAGAACTACCATGTGATCCAGAAATCTCATTACTGGGCATCTATCCAAAGGAAAAAAAGACATTCTATAAAAAGGACATCTGCACTAGAATGTTTACAGTAGCACAATTCACAATTGCAAAGATGTGGAAACAACCCAAGTGCCCATCAATATACATAAGTGGATTAATAAAATGTGGTATATGTATACCATGGAGTTCTACTCAGCCACAAAAAACAGTGGTGATCTAGCACCTCTTGTATTATGCTGGATAGAGGTGGAGCCCATCCTACTAAGTGAAGTATCCCAAGAATGGAAAAAACAAGCACCACATGTACTCACCATCAAATTGGTATTAACTGATCAACACTTATGTGCACATATAGTAGTAACATTTATTGGGTGTCAGGCAGGTGGGAGAGGGGAGGAGGGGATGGGTATATTCACACCTAATGGGTATGGTGCGCACTGTCCAGGGGATGGACACGCTTGAGGCACTGACTTGGGGGGGGGGACAAAGGCAATATATGTAACCTAAACATTTGTACCCCTGTAATATGCTGAAATAAAAAATAAAAAAATTAAAAATTAAAAGAAAAAAAAAAAACCACATTAGCACTCTCAGCCCCTTGCCATGTGATTTGCTGTGCCGCCTTGGAGTCTGTGGAGAGTCCCCACCAGCACGACAGCCCTCACCAGGCATTGCCCCTCAACTTCGGACTTCTCAGCCTCCCAAACTATAAGAAATAAATTCCTTTTCCTTATAAATTACCCAGTTTCAGGTATTGTAAGCAACAGAAAACAGACTAATACACTTGAGGAAATGTCCTACTTTTTTGAACAAAAAAATTATATAAAATGTTTTCGATATACACAAAGACTATGGCTAATCTTACAGAATTTTCTATACTTTACTAAACACCAATTAAGTTAGAAGTATTTTAATCCCTTAATAAACTGATAGGATATAATATTCACAAATTAGGATACTGAAATACATAATAGAATACTTACATAGTAGAATCTCGTTCTTGAGACAGGGTTGCTTCATATGAAACTGAAACAGAAGGGGATCTAGGATACACTCCATAATCTTCACTTGGAGCAATTATCTGCCTACCTAGAATCCTTCAAAATAATAAAACATAGACACAATTAAGCATATTCACCTGGCATACATACAAAATCTAGATATTTCTGGACCAAATTTTATGGCTCTATATAGAAATTCAGTACACACTCAGTCTGATACTGATTAAGAATGATTCTTGAACTACTGCCAATACAGTCAAGGGGAAAACTCATGAGGAGATCTGCAAGACCTTCAATATCAAAAACAACTTCACTGAAGGGGAGGAAGCCCAGGTACACAAAGAGAACCAGTGGTGTGAAGAGAGTGAAATGTTGTGCCTGACACTGTGACACTGTAACACTCTAAGGTTGTTCCAAGTACTAGTTGCAATGCTGTTTACGAGTGTTAATATTAGACAAACAGTAGACAAATGCAGCAGCGAATCAACTGTATTAGTAGAATGTAGTCCTCATTGTATGTGTACTTTGAGTACAGATCCCAAACCTATGGCTGACTTTCTTCTGGTATGATCAAATGTTTCTTTTTTCTTTGCTCTGAATAAAACTGAACTGTGGGTTCTCTATGAAAAAAAAAAAGAGAAAGAGAGAATAATTCTTGAGAAAAAATGTGAATCCAGAGCCTTACTATAGGCATATCTCTCTTCCATAGAATAGAGATGGAAAAGATAAAGCTATAACCCAGGAGTTTAAAAAAATCCAAGGAAACTGAGCAAATGTTTACAATTTGCCTTTCATCCTCTATCACAATCCTCATTAAATCAGCCAAAATAGGATGAAGGCCCAGGCAAATCGGTGAAAACTATGAATTATATTCTTAAGAACATGAAGCTTTATGAATTTTAAGTAAGTGGTACTATTGTGGTTTCTGAGGGAAGCTCCTGAATAGCCTATGTCTGTTTTCAAGTATATGTAAGAATTTAATTGTAGACAACAGTGTAAACAAATATATTTTCTGACCATCTTGTTCAAAAGAAGGGGTCTTTGGGCAACCAGGATACCCAGACCTCAGCTACTGGTACAGAAATCATTTTGCTCAATTAGGATGACATATTGTAACTTATGGAAACTCTAAGAAACTTCCACCAACTTGAGGTTTCTCTCAGCTGAGGATTTACACCATATGATTCATTAAAACCATGCCCACAAAAGTTTCAGAATGCAAGCATTTTTGGAAATCCACTTTTTATATTTCAGTAGTAGTCATGAATATAAGTCAACTGTAGGGCTTCAATACCTGAGGTGAGGAAAGCTAGTTGTCCACTGTTGGCACTCCACTTGTAGAGTCTTTGTATGCACACTCAACTTCTGCTCATATAAGAGCTCATCAATGGCTGTGAACATTGCCTGAACTTTTTCAGTGGCATTTTGATCAAGTTCCTAGAAGAAAATATCCCCCCAAAATATTTAGGTGAGTTTCAATCTCTGTTAAAAATTATAAAGACCGAAAGCACTAAGTTTTTTTTTGTTTAAAATATTTAGTCCATTTAAAATACTGCTGTGTTTCCATGAAAGAAAAGCTAGTGAGCTTTCACATCTCAGAATGTTCAGATGTCCTCTCTATTCATATTTAAAGATAATTTACAGAAGTATCTATTTTTGAAAAGTAACATTTTCTTCATATAAATATTTTGTTTATTGTAAACATTATGAAAAATACAGAAGAATGTAAAGAAAAAAATTAAAATTACCTATAATTCAACCACTCAAAGATAACGACTGCTAATTTTAGTAGATAGTTGCTTGGTTCCAGTAATTTTTAGAGCAAAAGGTAGACAGACATTCCTTATATATTACTTTGTATTCTACATCTTTCACTTGACAATTTGTGTTATATCCTTGCCCCCTATAATCCATCCTTTCAGAGAAGTCAGAGGGATGGCTATGCAATGCAAATCTGATCATGTTATCAGATTCCCTGCTTCCATACTGCATCTATATTTACATACCCTTTTACACTCCAGTGGAAGAAAGGTGATACCTTCTTTTAAAAGATGAAAACTATGTATTTTCACTCTAAGAATGAAAGTCAGCCTCTACCCAGTAAAAATTACATCTACCTATATAGGAGTGTTTTTCAAAAAAATTTGTCCAAAGCTGGGCACGGTGACACGACTCTGAGTAGTCCTAGCTACTGGAGAGGCTGAGGCAGGAGAATCAATGGAGCCCAGGGGTTCAAGGCTGTAGCACAATCACACCTGTAAATAGCCACTGTACTTCAGCCTGGGCAACATCACAAGAGCCTGTCTCAAAAAAAAAAAATTGTCCTTTACTTGAAATACTTTTTCAACATGTCTGTTTTCAATTCTAAAAAAAACAAATGGAAATCAGTGATTATTTCTTTGAATATTGCCTCTTTCCCATTCTCTTTCTAAAATTTCTTTTAGAAATACATTGCAGTTTCTTAATCCATCTTCCATGTCTCCTAACTACTCCTCAAATTCTGTCTTTAGCTCTCTGGCTGTAGGTAATTTTCTTAGTTCTATCATTCAATTCACTATCATTCTATTTCACTGGGTCCAGTTTACATTATCTATTGAGATACTTCAAACGCTATTCATTTCCAAGATTTGTAACTGGTTCTTCATATCTGCCTGTTCTTAAATTAAAATCTTCACTTACTTTGTTTTAAAACCTCTAATAATTTTAATGGATGTTATCTTGTCCTTTAAGTCCTTTAGGATTTTAAATTTTTTAATCAACTAATAATTTACATAAAATAAAAGACACATTTTAAGTATACAGCACAATGAGATTTTGACAAATGTATTCACCTAAGTAACAACCATTCCCTTCCAGATATAGAACATTTCTCCTCACACCCCTTGATAATTCACTGTTTTGGCCAAGAGTGTAAGAAAATCGGCCCTTCCATACATTCCTGGTGGGACTTGCAGATTGGAATAACTTCTACAGAGGTCAGTTTGGCAACAGCTTTCAAAATTACAAAAACATGTATCTTTTGACCAGTGAGTCCACCCTATAAATTTATACTTACATATACTCATATTTATGTAAAATAATAATATATGTGCAGGGTTAAAAATGCAGCATTCCTTTTGTATTAATGATGACTATATAGTCATTCAAGAACAAGTTTTTATAATATGGATATTCTTCAAAATATATTGTTAAGTGAAAATAATGGCACTGAACAGGGTGTATAATGACAACCTTTATGTAAAAATAATATAAATAAAATGTATGAAGTTAGCAAAGGAATCAATTAAATTAGCAAATATAAAATTCCTATATGGTTCCTATTTTGATTTTAATAGTTTTTAGTATTTTGCAATTTAAATTGGTATTTGCTATTTAAGTGGTAAATAGTCTTCATCAAGCTTCAAGGGTTTCCTTCTTCTACCTTACTGAGAATTTTGATAAGAAATGGTACTTTAAGTTTATCAAATACCTTATCAGCATCTCTTGGTTTGATCATATGTTTCCTTTAATTCACTGATACTAATTATATTAATAAATTTGCAGATATTGATCCAGCTTTGTATTCATGGAATAAATCTTACTTGATTATTAAAAAACAAAAACAAAATCAACCCAAAGTATATAAAATTAAAAGAGGACAAAATTAGATTAGCTATTTTTATTGTTGGTTGTAAAATTTAAATAATAGATATATAATTAGAATAAAAAAGGAAAGAGTTCCTTCACACCATTATGTTAACTTTAAATTTAAAATAATATTTTGAAAGAAATAAACCTAAGGCTATAAACCCAGAATGATTATAAATAATAAATATATTTATCAAAGTAGTAGGCCATTAATTAAACTGGGAGGAGACTATATTCCTATATGCCAGTGATAGTACAAAAACACTAAGACAGTTCAAAAATAAGTAAAATTTATAATTAAATTCGTTTTTAACACCTATTAAACTCTCTTGTTACAGTAAATAATAAAATGATAATGAGGACTAAAGTAAGATCTGAATAAATGAAGACTACTTCTAACTAGAATTCTAAGTTCAGTTAAGATAGAAAAATGATTAAAACTTGTATATAAAGTGCTTAGCATAATAACTGGCATTATTCTCTACATTTTTCTTAATTAATTTATTTATTTTTTTAGAAACAAGGTCTTGATCCATTACCAGGGCTAGAGGGCTAGAGTCCAGTGGCATCATCATAGCTCACTGCAACCTCAAACTCCTGAGCTCAAGTGATCCTCCTGCCTCAGCCTCCCGAGTAGCTGGTACTACACAGCTGCCCCACCGTGCCTGGCTAATTTTTTTTATTTTTTGTGGAGCTGGGGTCTCTCTATGTTGCTCAGGCTGGTTTCAAACTCCTGGCCTTACCACCTTAGCCTCCCAAAATGTTAGGACTATAGGCATGAGCCACTGCACCAGGCGAGATGGTTATATTTGAATATTGAAAAAAAAATAATCTGTTAGACAATAAATACCAAAAAGAAAGCAAGGGAATAGAAATATCTGTATGACATTTATAACTTATAAAGAGGTACTAATCACAATATAGAGCAAACTGATGAAAATATATAGTTAGTACACTAAATCCTCCTGATAAGGCATCAAATTAATTAATTAATTCCCTTAGAATAAAACATAAATTCTTTTTATTTTCCTTTTTACTGATGGACAGTTTGCATAAAAACGTAAATTCTTTACCATGGCCTACAAGGCCCTGCATGATCTAGTCCTGCCTACCTCTCCATTCTCATTTGTGTTTTTTGCCCCTGGTTCACCATCCTCCAACCTCCCTGATCTTTTTTTAGTACCAAGAACACACCCCACTTTCCCTTAGAAACATTAAGCTCTTCCCCTCCTAGGGGCTTTTGCATATGCTGCTGGTTACCTTTCTGGAAAGCTCTTTTCCTCACTCCTCACATAGATAGCTCTTCAATCTTCAAGTCTCAAATCTACCAAACCTGCCAACCCTATCTAAAGTGAATCCCCTATAATGTTCTATTTCAGCACCTTGTCATCTTCCTTAGAGCATGTTTATATCCTTTTGGATTTTATTTGCTTTTGTCAGTCTCCCTCAATCTCCCATTAGACTATTGAATCATTTAAGTTTCACTCACCCCATATTTCCAGGGCCAAGTACAGTAACAATAAACATGTTCAATAAATATTTGTTGAATGAATGAAAAAAAAGTGAAAACTCAGCTATTAGATAATAAGGGAAAGCTCCAAATATTAACACAGGAAATATATAACTATTCAGATGGACAGGTATGGAGGTAGTAAAAGAAAATGTCTATATGCAATAATGGTAAATGAAAAAAGTAGACCACAAAATAGTATGTACATATATCATACAACTATGTAAGTAAAGTATACATACATTCCAAAATGGTTGGAAAATAAGTCATGTAATAATAAAAGGTTTTAACAATCAGCAGGCTTTCTGTAAAGAAATTAGGTTGCTAACAATAATACTGTATAAAGTCAGAATTGTGGAAAAGTGCTTATAAAATGATATTAAGTAAAAAAATAGAGCATAATATTGTATGTACACCATGATTATAACTAGGCCAAATTAAATACAGATTGAAAAAAGATATAGAAATAAAAATACCTATTGCATCAAGGTGGTAAAATTATGAATAAGACTTTTTAAATTTTTTTCAGTTGTTGGTCTTGGCTGGGCACTGTGGGTCACACCTATAATCCAAACACTCTGGGGGCCAAGGTGGGAGGGTCGCTTGCTCAGACCAGCCTGAGCAAGAGTGAGACCCCTGTCTCTACTAAAAATACAAAAATTAGCTGGGCATCATGGCATGCACCTGTAGTCCCAGCTACTTGGAAGGCTGAGGCAAGAGGATCACTTTAGCCCAGGAGTTTGAGGTTGCAGTGAGCTACAATAATGCCACTGCACTCTACCCAGGGTTACAGAGCAAGACTCTGTCTCAAAAAAAAAAAAAAGATTGTTGGTCTTTTAAAAATAATATTTTATAATGGGAGATAGCCAAAAATAAATAAATAAGTAAAAATCACTATATCATCACCTAATAAATAATGACAAAATAACATTTTGGGTAAATATCCATAGTCCTATTTGAATATATATATATACGTGTGTGTATATATATACACACACACATATATGCAAAAATGTATGTAAAACAAAATTAGAATGACACTATACATACCATTTTTAACTTGCTTGTTTTCATTTAACAATATATCATAAACATTTTCCCAGCCTATAATGGCTTAACATTAAAATTTCAAAAACATTTTGAACAGCAAGGTAACATTAGTGGTGGAGATGCACATTAGTGGACTGAGAATGACAAAAGGAATAAATCTAGAGACCAGATCCATGCTAACCTGCAACTGTAAATTGAACACAAGCATCTTTAAGGCTCAACTATTTAATACTATATCCATAAAACAAAGCAAATACTGAAAGATGATGATTGATGCTTCTTTACAACTATTATAAAGTGTGGTAAATATAAGCATTAAAATGTAAAGAAACAATGCAGGGGAGTGAAGGAATGAAATATACTGACAAATCCTAACTCCCAGACTAGTCTCCCAAGCATTCCATCAGACCAGTAACATACAACTCACACCATATCCCCAGGAGAAGTCCGAGCTGCCTTCAGTAGAAATCCCTGTGCCTGTATAATTTGGAAAAGCAGACCTTGAATTCTCAGTGTCGGCTGATGTAAAAGGTGATTCTCGTGTGATGTCAGATTCACTAAATGTACGGTTTGGGAGGAGGAGAGAAAACAGAAAAATGTTCATATTTCCTCAAGGTTCTGCAGCATTAACTACTCAGCAACTTACCAGGTGATAACCATGTGTACAAATATATCCACAGAGGCAAAAATAAATGAAGAACTTGAAATTCAAGCATCATGAAAAAGTCCTACCCAATTCCTATAGAATTAGTAGCAACCAGTCCAAATAATTCTAGTCATAGTTTACAATGAATACTTTAACGTCCCACCTATAACATATACTCTTGACAACTAAAGACATTACAGAAATATTAACAGTAATATCTGAACTTATATGGCACTTTCATAGTTTAC